GGAAGGAAGGAAGGAAAGAAGGAAGGAAGGAAGGAAGGAAGGAAGGAAGGAAGGAAGGAAGGAAGGAAGGAAGGAAGCAAGGAAGCAAGGAAGGATTGTGGAGGTCCTTGTTGCTCTGAGCTTGGGGGATTTTCTTGCAGACGTTTCATGACCCAACTAGGTAACATCCTCACTGCTAGAAGGGAGGAGCATTTGAGGAGAAGAGGAGGAGGGAGGAGGAGGAGGAGGGAGGGGGGATCGTTGGTGCCTTCTGTGCTTGGTTGTTTTCTTGCAGACATTTCATGATCGAACTAGGAAACACCATCAGTGCTAAAAGGGAGGAGGGATTGTAGAGAGGAGGAGGAGGAGGAAGACTGAGGGTTCTTGGTACTCTGTGAGATGGGTTGTTGCAGACGTTTCATGATCCAACTAGGTAACATCATCAGTGCTAGAAGGGAGGAGGGATTGTGGAGAGGGAGGAGGCGCGGGAGAAGGGGGAAGAGGAAGAAGAGAAGGAAGTGCAGGACTGAGGGACCCTTGGTGCTCTCGGAACTGAGTTATTTTCTTGCAGACGTTTCGTGACCCAACTAGGTAACGTCATCAGCGCAGCATTCTCCTTTCCTAGAGCCTGGGTCCTCTGCTCTATGGCTGCCTCCTGAAGCAAGGCACAATCTATTATTATGACCATCCTAAAAAGCAACTATTAAGCCAACTACTAGTGGGTGAAGAAGAAGAAGCCCCAAAAGTGGCCATCTTACGGTCCTCCAAAGTAGCTCTTACCTCCCGCGCGGACTTCAGTCTCTGTCCGCAGAGAATAAGGGTTTTGCAGGAGACAGACCAGGGAGAGGCGCACAGAGTGAGTAGATAAAAGGTGTGAACAACCAAGAACAAAACCAACGAGAGATGGAGAAGAAGACAGAGAAATTGGGGAAGGGGGACCAGGGAGGGGGTGGGGTCTTTTTTTTACCTTGGCCGCGCAGGAGATGTTCATGGGCAGGTTGCCCCCTGCGTAGAAGTTGATGATCTACAAAGGAAAGGAAGTTGTTTAGGACAACCGTTTCTCAAACTCGGTGGATGGAGGATGCAGACGGTTCACACTGGTTCGAGTGAACCGGTTGTTAAATTTTTTAATCCATTTTAATCGCCGCTTTGGCAAACCCGTAAATTCCACCACTGGCCGGCCCCGCCCACCCCCCCCCTCCCCCCCTACCCCCCCCCTCCCCACATGGCCCATTTTCGATGCCAGGTAAGTACGGGGCCTGCTCAGAGGCGTGGAGAGGGCGAAAAATGGGCCTCCTGCAGGCTCCGGAAGGCTGGAAACGGGCCCATTTCTGACCTCCGGAGCCCGGGGAGGCTGTTTTCACCTTCCTGTAGGCTCAAAGAAAGCTTCCACAGCCTGCGGAGGGTGAAAACAACACAACCACCCTGCCATGGTGCAGGAAGCCCACTGGGGCCACACCCACCCAGCAACCGAGCAGAAAGCCGGCTGCTAAAAAATTTTGAAGCCCACCCCTGACTCCAACTCCCATAATCCCCCAGCTGGCAGATCAGTTTCCTATTTAATTATCATGCCATTTAGCCCACTTTTTAAACTCATTTATTCATTTACTTTGTCATTTACCTTGTCATTTTCCCCCACTTTGCTGAAGTCAGGTTATTTTACGTCGACCGCATTCCCACTATCTACTAAGAAAGTTATCCACATTAAAAACAAAAACAAAAACAAAAACGGTGATATTTTGTTCTTGTCCTATCCGGGCTGAATTCTAGTCAATCCTTGCTGGGAGTTGGGAGTTGAAGTCCACCCATCCTCTAGGGGCCACAAATTTTGGTTTAGGATCGCCATTTGGTTCTCGGTGGATTTTTTACACTTAATGACCATTGCAACATCCCTGAGGTCACATGATCAAATTGGCAACTGACTCGTATTTATGGCGGTCGTAGCATCCCGAGGTCACGCGATCCTTCTGACAAGCAAAGTCAATGGGGGAAAACCAGATTCACTTAACGGCGGTGTTACTAAAGTAAGATTCCACTGGGCCAGCGAGGCAAGAACGGCCGTAAAATGTCTGGCTTGGTGACATTAAGTTGTGGTTCAATTTTGGTCGTAAATCGAGGACTACCTGAATTGGCCAGGAGGCCATTTTAAGAAGCCCCTTTTGCAATGTCCCCAACCCCAATTGCTTCTTTGTCTCCTCCCTACGTCCCCTCCTCTTATGGAGACCCTCTCCCCATTCTCCCTCAACCCACCCGGTTCATTTTGACCAAGATGCAGGGCTGTCCCTCCTGGTAGCCATAAGTCGAGTCGTTGAGTCCCGAACAGTCTCTCAACATCGTGCGGTTGAACTGGCAGGCCCTCTTGGGGTAGTTCAACACTCCGTTGTCCGGTTGTTCGTTGTAACGGCCAGGCTGGCAGAATTCGTTCATGGCCACTTGCCGAGAATCATTGTAGGCTGGCAGAGAGAAAGAGAGGAGGGGAGATTTGGTGGAGAAGAACATCCAGGTAGCTTCTTGGAGGTTTCTCTTTCCTTTCCCCTTCTTTTCTTTTCTTTTCCTTTCCTTTCCTTTTTCTCCTTTCCTTCCCCTTCCCTTCTTCTTTTCCTTTCCTTTCATCTCCTTGTTTCTTTTTCCCTTTCCCTTCCTTTTCCTCCTTCCCTTCTCTTCCCTTCTTCCTTTCCTTTCCTTCCCTTCTTCCTTTCCTTTTTCTCCTTCCCCTCCCCTTTCTTTCCTTCCCTTCCCTTCTTCATTTCCTTTCCTTTTTATCCTTCCCTTCCCTTCTTTCCATTTTTTCCTTTTCTTCCCTTCCTTTTTCTCCTTCTGTTCCCTTCCCTTCTTTCCTTTTTCTCCTTTCCTTCTCTTCCCCTTTTTTCCTTTCCTCTCTTCCTTCTCTCTTTTTTCCTTTCCCTTCTTTCTTTCCTTTCCTTTTTCTCCTATCCTTCCCCTTTCGTTCCTTTCCTTTCTTTCCCCTCCCTTCTTCATTTCCTTTCCTTTTTCTCATTTCCTTTCCTTTTCCTCATTTCCTTTCCTCTCCTTCTTCTTTCTTTTTCTCTTTCCCTTTCCTTTCATTTTTCTCTTTTCCCTTCCTTCCCTTCCCTCTCTTTCCTTTCCTTTTTCTTCAAAATCAGAGTCAATGAGCCCCATAGCAAATGGGCCAGGCTGCACCGTGGTTTGGCCAAGGGTGGGTTGGGTTAGGACATAGGGGCACTTGCTAGGCCACAAACCATGGTTTCCTCAACTGTTGCTTTTTTAATTGCTTTTAAATTTAATTGCTGTTCTTGATTTGTTTTATTGAGATTCAATTTTGTGAACTGCCCATAGTCGCTACAGTTGGGTGGACATATAAAAGTTTCCTTTCCCTAAAGCACTTTTTTTAAAAAATAAACTTTATTAAATAGAAAAAAGTTAAAATATACAAATATACAAACTCAAAAGGCAAAGATTCATACAAACATCACAATAATCTCTGTGCTAAAACTAATTAAGCTTTCCTTTGATACATTTGACAGTGAGTTAAATATTTCCTAGATTATATTCTGTGGCAGTTATTTCTTGATTCCTATAGGTTCTCTGTAATTTGTGTTCTATCAAACATAATGTTCTGTTATTAATGTTTGTTGTTGGATTGTACTTATCTATTTTTACCGGTGAATTCCTTCTATTAATTGTTTAAAGGATGAGGGAGTCTAAGACTAACATTAACAATTCCTGTTTGTTATTGTATGTATCATAATCTGTTTCATAAATTTGTTTTCCCCCCCTTGATTCCCCTTTTCGGTTTTTTTACGTTCTAGCCAATCGTACCACCTATTCCAGATCGAGTAAAATTCTGCCTCCTCTTTTCCTTTTAATTTTAATGTGAGTTTATCCATTTCTGTGCATTCACAAATTTTTTGAATAATAAATTGTATTGGTGGTATATTAAGCAATTTCCAAAATTGAGCCAGTGAGATACGTGCCGCTGTTAGAATATGGATAATCAAATATTTTACTTTGGAGGGATAACCTTCCTTAATGATACCCAGAAGATACAATCTAGGTTCCCACTCCAATCCACTCTGGATGATTTCTTCTAACCAAGTTTTAATTCTAATCCAAAAATTTTTGGCCACTGGGCATGTCGACCAGAGATGGAAGTAGATACCACGATTCCCTTTGCATTTCCAACAAGTTAGAGAGGATATATTTTTGCTAATCTGGAGGGTGCTAGATGCCATCCATATATCATTTTATATAAGTTCTCTTTATAAGACACAGATTTAGTTATTGTAAGATTTCTCTGCCAGATTTCTTCCCAGTCTTCTCAGTCTATATTATAGCCGAAATTTCTTGCCCACGCTATCATTGGTCCTTTCACAATTTTCTCGGCTAATTCATATTCCAATAGATAATTATATAATTTAGATATCATATTCTTATCTGGGCCCCAAAGTATCTTATCAAATTTAGTGCTTTTTGATTCTATTCCGAATTCTTTTAAAACTTTCTCATATCTTATTGCTATTTGGAAATAGGACCAACGATCAATCATTATTTTTTGGTTTTCTAAATTCTTGGGTCGATTTGAGCTTTCCTTCTTTGTCTAAAATTTGGTGATATTTGAACTTTTTACTAATGTCCATTGTATTAGGGTGGAACATTGCCTCCATTGTTGACAACTTTTAACGGAACTTTCATGTAATGGTTTTTCCTAATATCAGACCAGGTTTTTTATCAAAGATTTGCGTAAAGTATGTCTCTAAAAGTATGAGTGATTTTTACTACACGGGTTCCACGAGAAGGCATGCCACCCTATTTATAAGTCATATCCTTCTAATGTTAGAATTCTTTTGTTTTCCAATTTAATTCAATCCTTTATCCACATTAACATCGCTGCTTTATAATAGGTCTCCCAGGCAGGGAGACCAAAGCCGCCTCTGCTTTTACTGTCTTGTAAATAAATTTTCTTAATTCTTGACTTCTTGCCTGCCCAAATGAATTTCATAGTAATTTCTCTAAAGCACTTTTTTTTCTTCCTTCCTTCCTTCCTTTCCTCCCTTCACTTTCTCCCACTCTTCTCTCCTCCCCTCCTTTTTCTCCTCCCTCCCCTTCCTTCCTCCCTTCTCCTCTTTTTCCTTTTCCTTCTCTTTCTTCCTTCTCTTCTTCTCCCTGTTTTCCACTTTCCTCCTGCTCCTCTTCTCCCCATTCCCTTCCCTTCCACATAGGCACACAAATCCTGGCCACGCGAGGGGTGACAGGATAGCATCTTGCAATATTTGAGGGGCTGCCCCACGGAAGAGGAGGGGGCTAATCTATTCTCCAAAGCCCCCCAAGGCAGGACAAGAAGCAACGGATGGAAACTGGTCAAGGAGAGAAGCAACCTGGAATTCAGGAGAAAATTTGTAACTAACAGTGAGGACAATTAGCCAGTGGAACTGCCTGCCTCCAGAGTTGTGAAATGCTGCAACACTGGTGGTTTTTAAGAAATAGACTGGACTTGTCTGAAATGATATAGGGGCTCCTGCTTGAGCAGAGGGCTGGACTAGATGACCCCCCCAGGGTCCCTTCCAAGCAGTCTTATTCTGTTATTCACCTTCGAAGGTGAACTTGACTCCTTTCCCTCACTTACCTTCCAGAAAGGTATTGAGCATTTTCACGTAGCTGTCCCAAGACTCCGTTTTGCTTAAGTTGTAAGTAATTTCCAGGCTTTCTGTTTGGGGACGGATCATCATGCCTGCCATTAAAAGAGGAGAAAAATAAATCTAAAATCCAACTAAAATTAAAAACAGATAACATGAAATCATTCCGGAATAATAAAAAAAAAGAAAGTCAAAACATTAAAAATAAATGCGACAAAGCAAAATAACTCAAAACCAAAAATAGAGAGAGAGAGAAAATCAACTAAAAATAAAAGAGATGAATAAATTAACATTGGCAATTAAAGAAAAAAGAAACTAAATACTATATGGCACGGGATCTATTTTATCAACAGTTGGAAAATAAAGAAATAAGTTAAAATGGAGTAGATGAATATACAGAGAAGTAAGTTAAGATTGCTTATAAAGATAAAATACCTAAGCAACAACGGTTTGTAAAGAAAATGTGATTACTGATATTTTGGCAAGGAAAGTATGTTAATTATAATTGCTAGCACAAGATATATGTACCCAGTCGACACACTGTTTAAATGAAAGATGGACTTGTCATAAATATAAAATAATTTTTTTTAATAAAAAACAAATGAGACAAAAGCAAAATCATTCAAAACCCCAAAAAAGAGAAAATCAAATCATCAAAATAAAAGACATATATCTCAAATGTAAAATGTAAAAAGAAGTGAAATGATAATGATAAAATGCAATATAAAATGTTAATGTCAAATCAAAATAAAAAAAGGAAACAACATTAAAAAAAAAAACAGGACCCGTAAAAGATAAAAGAGAATGCACAATGTTATAAAAGAAATGATTTAAAAAAAAAAAAATCAAAGGAAAGACAAAAGAGAATGCAAAACGCAAAATTAAAATAAAAGATAAAATAATAAAAAGATAACAGATAATCAGAGTTGGAAGGGACCCTGGAGGTCATCTAGTCCAACCCCCTGCCCAAGCGGGATACCCTACACCATTTCTGACAAAATGGCAGCCCAGTCTCTTCTTGAAGGCCTCCAGGGATGGCGCTCCCACAAGCATCTAACCAAGGATGCAGGGCAAGACCGGAAGGGGGCCCAAGTTTCTCTTCTACCTGGCCTGAGACTCACCTGGGATGGAGAGACGGTCCTGATACTTGGGGATGAAGGGATCCACGGTTTGCAACATAACCCACATGGTGAGAGTGAAGAGGGCAGTCAGGAAGCCGTAGAAGACCAAGTAGAAGAGCAGGATGAGGGCTGAACAGGGGGGGGGGGGGGAGGGGGGGGGGGGGGGACAGGGCGGCCCGGGGGGGGGGGAGAGATGAGGTGGGGGGAGACACAGGCGGCCAGGTTAGTGACATGCTTTAAGGAAACCCCCACCCCCACAAGTTGTTATGGTTATTAATTTTATTTGCACAGATTTAAGCAGTTTTTCTCCACCTTGGCAGCTGGAAGGTGGATGGACTTCAACTCCCAGAATTCTTTCTCTTTCTTTCTTTCTTTCTTCTTTCTTTCTTTCTCTTTCTTTCCTTTCTCTCTCTCTCTCCCCCCTCTGACAGCTGGAAGGTGGATGGACTTCAACTCCCAGAATTCTTTCTTTCTTTCCTTTCTCTCTCTCCCTCCCTCTGTTCTTTCCTTTCTTTTCTTCCTCTCTTTTTCTTCAGTTTCTTTCCTTTCTTTATTTCTTCTCTTTTTCTCCTTTGTCTTCCCTTTCCTTCCTTTTTTCCTGCTTCCCTTCTTTCCTTCTTTTTCCTTCTCTCTCAATCTTTATCTATTTCCCTTCTTTCTTCTTTTCTAACATTCCTTACTTTCATTTCTTAACTTCCTCCCTTCCTTTCTTCCTCCCTCCCTCCTTCTTTCATTTCCTTCCTTTTCTTTTTTCCTTCCTTTCTTCCCTTCCCTTTCTTCCTTCCTTTCCTTTCCTTCCTTCCTTCCTTCCTCTTTCACTCCTTCTCTTTCTTCCTTGGCAACTTGAAGATGGAAGGACTTCAGCTCCCAGAAGTTGAATTTTTATTTTGTTATTTTCTTTTATTCTTTCTTTTTCTTTCCTTCTCTCTTTCTTTCTGGCTGGGGAATTCTGAGTATGGAAATCTACCCACCGTCCCAAGATTACCAAGGTTGAGGAAAAACTGGCCCACTGTACACAAACATCTGTTCTTCTCTATCAAACCCACTACTTGGATTTCTTGGTGGGTTTAATATCCACAGGTGAGGCCCCTCCCCCAAGGATGTCCAGCCCCGCCCCCCAATCCTCCTTTACCTGTCCTCTGCCAGGGCTCCCAGGTGTGCCCTGGCTCAACCCCAGGCTCTGTGCCAATTTAATTAGATGATGGCTGACCAGTAAACCTGAGAACTTGCTGGGGTGTCACCACCTCCTGCTTAACCCAAGGTCTTTGGTGGGCGGGAAGACAGCGCCAGCAGCGCCTTTCCTTCAGTATGGGGGCAGGAAATTAAAAAGAGCAAGCAGAAAGACACACACACACACACACACACACACACACACACACACGCAGCTTATTTGAGGGACCTCTGCAGTGGGGGGTCCATATTGTCACGGGGCGGGGGAGAGAGTGAGAGAGAGCAGGAGAGAGAGAGAGAAAGGTGAGAGGCGGAAGAAAGAATGTAAGAGAAAGCAAGGGGAAAGAAAAGGAAGGGAAAGAAGGAAAAAAGAAAGAAAGAAAGAAAAGACTGAGAGAGGAGAAAGAAGGAAAAAGGCAAAAGATAAATGAGAGGCAGAAAGAAAGAGAGAAGGAGAAAGAGGTGACAGGCAGAAAGCGAGAGAAGAAAAAAGA